GCACAGGTAGTGTTGGAATAAAATGATGCATCATTGCATCACATGGGAACGGCGACAGCAAATCACATCAATGCGACGGTGGGTGAAGTCATCGCTCGCTGGTCAACGGCAGATCGTTGAACAGCGCATAAAATGATCACCACACCGTACAACACAGTTCTTGCATCTAAATGAAAGATTTAATTGTTACGTAAGAATAAAGTGTGATTTTAGTGTCATTCATGCAAATTTTGTAGCTGGATGAGAGATTATCAGCGTTCTGCGCATAAAGGCTAATCATAAGATATATTCGAAATGCCTAGTCATATGCGGCATCCGACATGATAGAATCACAAATTTACCAACGCTTCTGAAGGGCGAAATTAACATAAATAACAGGATTTAATCCGTCATAGTATTTTGGAGAGAGTTTCAATGACAACAGCTGCAAGGTAGAAAAGTGACTGTGGGTGAAAATGAATATATCGTACCTGTCAATCAATAAACTATAAAGTGGAGTATGTCATCTCTATGTGAGTGGTGTTAGCGAGAAAAGGAACATCGAAAATTCAAAAATTTCTACGAACTTTGCCCTAGGCTAACACGAAGACAAGGGAAGCAAATGGTTTTTGAGTAGAACCCAAAAAAGTATACTAAATTTCAGGACCTGTTCTTGATTCACAGCAACTAAACAAAACTGGATTTATAGAAAACTGTTGAGGTCAGAAGTGCAACGTTTCGATATGTAGTTGTGAAACATATGAAGATATCAAGAAAACAGAAGTTCATTGGTGCAGCAATTTCAAAGTACGACTAATTGCTTGAAGTTTCCTAAGCATGCGCGTGTCATTCCGCCGTGAACGATTGGTCACAGAGAGCTGATAACGATTGGTCGTCAGTGGTTACAGTTGGGTGAAAGCTGGACATTCTTTACTTTATTCCCCTAATGACGCTTCAGTGAGCAAAATATCAACGGAATGATAGCCGATAAAGCGAACTATATCATTAATGCACTCCATAGCGAAGAGTAAATGAGAATAGTAGATCATAGCTCTGAAATAATCTATAGTCAAATGTTCCCTTAGACCATCCCAGAGGATAAAGTTCGGAACTAAAGGAACGAAGAATCTTTGTACTACATAGGACGAAAAACGTAGATCACAGAGCGGTAGGTGTGTATCTTATTGGAAATATAAAAAATAATAAGAAGATTACAGGCAGTGCTCCGTAAGAATGTTACGCCTTTGAATCGCAATTAAGCTGAGCAATCCCCTCCATGCAAGTGTAGCGGTTGAGAGCAAAGGTAGCAATGATGGAGTGAAAGATAACGGCCCAAATTTATGCCGGCTCTCGTCCTGATTGCTCTTTCGAATAAGATTTCTGTTTTTCATCGGTGTCTAAATCTAATAGAGTCGAAAAAGTAGAATTGCTCAGATTTAACAAGACTGGTCGCAAGACTGGCAATAGAAATCCATAAGAATGAAAAGGGAATAGCAGACTATATAACGCCTACATGCATAAGTATGTCGCAACTGACATAATTCAAAAATAAATGATTGCTGTGATTTATGTGTTAGAAATAAGGTATGAAAAAATGCAGTGGAATTGCTTCTGCAATTGTCATTCAAAGATAAGAGAGGTTAAGTAAAAGATTTCGAAATGTTGTCTCAGGTTAAGATTCGATCAATGCTGTGACGGAGGTATTCCTTGTCAACAGAGGATCTGTCTGAAAAATTTGATTCCACGTTTCGCATAATCTTCAACAGCAGAAGAAGAACACAATTAAGGAAGAAGCCAAAACTTTCAACCCAAAAAAAGATAATGAAGAATTAGATATCTGTAGAAACATTAGAGCTTGAACAAAAATGGAACATTGGGCGGTAAGCAGAACGGGCTTTTACTTAGTTATATACTAACGATAGAAGGCTTTGTGCCAAAGAACCACAATTTAACGAGGAACACTCACAAATACACAGCTGATCCACACACTTCTAGCAGATCTCCCGATGCTTGAAGAAATCTAAATGGAAACTGATAGATGATGAGGATAAAAAGCCAGCGATTAGGATGGACACAGGATGAATTTCTGAATTACGAATATCAAAAATTGGTCACTTGAATTTACCACGGTTTTGAGAACATATGAAAATCGGGAGAAATATATATTCAGGTGAAAGTTAGATGAAGGGAGTGATTACACAGTTGTATGTAGTTGAGAACGTTCTCGCATCAATAGTCATCTGCAGACTAGAAGATGAAGGTGAAACAGTATCTGCAGATGGTTTCAGTAAAGATCACCGAGTGGAAAATTCACTGACCCGCAATTCGTCGAAAGAAATATTTAGCGATTATACAATTCATCGCGGGTGATTAATTTATAAAATTTATTATTATGATATAAAAATATAGGTGTCTACCAAAAATTAAAAGAGAATTATTTAGAAATAGCATACTTGAAAAATTGTATTAACAAGCAGAATAATT